ATATGAAGCGCACGCAGTGGTTCACTCTGACGAGGCTGCGCCCGGGCGGGTTGGTGGGCGGTATCGGACCGTCTCGGAGGCCTTTTGGGTCGTATGAGGGCTGTCTTGGGGTAAGTTCGAGAGCCTCAAGGGCCGTTTCTGAACGTCGGGAAGCCGTCGACAGGCGAGAATGCCGGAATCATTCGGCAACCTCTGTCACGTCAATGGACTCTGCTCCTTGGGGCACTCTTGGGTGTGCTCTAGAACTCTTCGCGGTGCCTCTGAGTAATTTATTGGGGCTTCCTTGGGGCCTCTTGGGGGGCGCTTTCGGGGCCTCTCAGGGGCCTCTTGGGGACCCCTTAGAGCGGGGCCGCTGGGGCCGTCTTGGAGGCGTCTTGGGCCTTCTTGCGGCGCTCTGAGGCCGTTTCAGGGCCCTCATGGAGGCGCCTCGTGCCGTTTGGGAGCAATCTTGGGAGCCTCGAGACCTGTCTGGGAGCGCCGGGAGGCCGAGAAGGCGACAGCACCAACAGAATTCAAAAACCATGAGGACATGCATGACGTTTGCCTCCTGGAGCTTTCTTGGAAGTGCTCGCGGTTGCCTTTGGAGCGTCTTCGAGGCTTCCTGGGCTGTCGGAGGCGAGATGGACCTTACCTGGGGCCTCGGGAGGCTTTACTGGTCCTCTTGGAGCCGTCGGGGGCCACTTTGAGGCAGCAGGAGGAGCCCAAGCAGAGCCAGACCCCCCCCCGGGAGGGCGGGGACCCCCCTCGGGCGAGTTCGGCCGGTGGTCGTGCGAGGCCAGCCGGTGTTGGGTCCTTGGGGGGGGGGAATGTACGCGTAGAGACCCACTTCGACTGTCTTGAAGCTGTCCTCTCCACTGCTCGTGCAAACATCCCACCCTCCCACCCGCAACTTGGTCGCAAGACATCTTCAGACATGACCGTGGCGGTAGGTACTGCGCGGCACTTGGCCACGACACCGGTGCCGACGACGACAGCGACATCGACGACGACGGCGCCGCCGACAGCGACTGCGACGACACCGACGACGTCTCCAATGTTTTCGACGACGACAACGACGACACCGACGATTGGTCGGCGGATCCGATGTTTTTCAATCTGGGCGTTTTTCTCCCCGTTCCAGAGCGTTCCAGAGCGCTCTCAGAGCGTTCCAAATTCTCTGAGGAGACCACAGCGCCCGATACATCCTCCAGAGGCGCCGGATTTCAGAGATTATTGATTTAACCTCACCCGACTTTATCCTCGTCCTGCCTTCGCCTTAGTGTGGACGGGGGAGCCAGGACTCCACCAGCCGTGCCGCGTCAGGGATTCCAATGAGCAGAGCGACAGCAGCTATGCTGTGCTTCTTTCTTCCCGCTGCGAGCGGCACAT